ACGTGTGGGTTTATAATCCCGCAGATCTGCTGTATGCTGAGGTGTAGTGAGATCCGCCCCTATCTGTACCCTCAACATATCAGCATGGGCACACTCGTGTAACTTTCTCACCAAACAAGAATTTCAGCCTATTGTAAAGGCACTGGAGATGGATAGGAGCATGCCTTTTGCATGCAACTCTCAATCTTAGAATAACAATGACTTCATTCATTGACCATTATCCAAAGTAGGTGCCAAGTGTCTTCAGAAATCCAAAGTATCTACGTGGATTGTTCCATCTGCAATTCAAAGATCAGATTAATACCTATAGATATGAAGCTCAAACAGACCTAGTCTACTTACATTTGAAGAATGATATGTCCTGAGACTAATTGCTTCCAAGGTTCTTCTGAATACAGGGGATCTCAGGGAATCAATGTATTCCTTTAATATTAGTCACTAGATAGCGCCAAAGAGCACTTTTATTGGAGATCTTGCAGCCTGGGTGACTAGTGTCTTGGAAATTCAACTCACCTGACACTGACAATCCCTTTTGCCAAGTCCAAACAGTTTGGGGTTTGGCAAATCTTATTTAGATCCAATTATAAGAAGTACTTTTAATTGGATTAATAATCAACAGTGAGTGATAAACCATCCACGGTCACTTGATAGGACAAAGATGATGCTAGCATACGGTGTGAGGAGCTGATGTTATTATTTTTTAAGTTTGTAAAGATATAATGTGAATGTTGAGGAGACATCTGATCTGCAGTGTGTTGTGATTAAATAGGTCCATCCACCAGTCATGTCTTGCTGTACCTTTGCCCTACACCTTTGTTGATCTTATTGTGAACGATTCAATGTCATTACTCAATCTTCTGGTGAAACAACCTCTCTGGTGACCTATGTTGGATTTCGCCAATCATTTAGTTCACTTAAACCCTGCCCCACTCCATTCAAATCAACAAAAAATGACTAAATCAAGTCCCAGCATCTTTTTTTCTTTCTTTCAGAAAAGATCTACCATTACTTCCATTAAATTGTGACTAACTCTTCAAAGCTATTTGCAGTGAAGGAACTATCTTGACACAGGTTGCAATTTTAGTCAGTTGTTTTTGTTGCAATTATCTTTAGACTATATCTATTGCAATAACAAAACCACCATTGTCTGTATTCGGAGTCAAAAGTAAATGAAAACATAATTTAGATGTAAAGGCCTGTTCACACCAAGGCGAATATTCGTTGCGATAAATATTTTAATTCAAATTAACGGCTGTTAATGCATCTGTTCAGACCGGCAGGAACATTCACATACCATTAATACTACAGATTTTACTGAGAGGTTTTCCAATCTTTTTTTCCATTTCGCTGCAAATGAAACTGGTCAACCAATAAGATTTGTGCTTTTAGTCATGTGTCCAGAGACACTGCTGTTACATAAAACCAGGGTATTTCTGCTTTTTTTTTCTAAGCGCCACCTACTGTCAGAGAGTTAACCAGCATTTTCATTCAGCCCGTCTGCTGTTTATTACGCATTGGTATTAAGAGACAAATCAAATATAAAAATTGCACTGCATTTTCATGTTGAACATTTGTGTTGGTGTGACCAAGCCTTAATTCTATATAATCTGGAAAAGTCTATATAATCATCTGGAAAACCAGCCACCTATACAACTTCATTTGACTTGTCTTACCACTCCACGGTCTCTCTTTTATGTAAGCTAGGGCCCTGTCCCAAATGGCACACTTCACATGCATTCGCGGTCTTACGGACTTACAATGGTAGCCGCGTGCACGTGTCCATTAATTCCACGTCCATTTGTCATTTTAGCTTTCAGAAGGGTGCTCGCGAGCGCCCCCTTTGCAGCCGCTATGCGCCCTCGATGCGCACTTCTGCTGAGCCCGCACTGGGGCGAGCTCCGCAGCAGACTTCTACCTGACAGTCAAAGCGGTATTACGTCACGAAAGTGTGGACTCAAGAGGAAGACCACAAGGGTGTGATTTGGGACAGGGCCTAGAATAGTTATTGGCATGTCTCAAAATGGATACCTGCATGGGTTAAAATGGCATTAGAGGACAAGTTACTAGTTTAACCCAAAGTATAGTTTAGCTTTTATGCGTACACTAGGTTATGCGCACAGTGCACGTGATGTAAATTTCGCCATCAGCATAGTATGCGCATACAGTCCGATCTCTCTAACTGTATGGACATTTCTCAATCAGTGGCCATTTTTAAACCACTTTACCCTATTTGCTTTAACCCACTAGGGGCTAAGTTTAGTTGTGGGGCTTAGTCATTTTAGCAAGCTGGGTAAAGCTGTGGAAAAATATCCAAAATTGCATACTCTTTGAGTTGGTACTTTTTTTTTATATGTACTTAAGTGAAAGTGATGTGACGTGTGGCCAAGTATGGTAACCCATACTCAGAATTAGTGTTTTGCATTTAACCCATCCAAGTGCGCACACACACACACCTGGAGCAGTGGGCAGCTGTTTTTGCCAGTAGCCCCTCAATGCAGAACAAAGATCTAGGGGGCGGGGTTGGATCCACATCTAGGGGGTGGAGATGGTAGGTTTGAGGGTTGAGATGGGTGGGTTTAGGGATCAGGCGGTGGAGACGGGTAGGTTTAGGTATATGTAAGGTGGGAGGAGTTGGATCTGGATCCAACCTCGCCACCTGGATCTTGTGTTCTGCAGTGAGGACCATCTCGTTTTTGCTGCGGCGCCAAGGGGTTTGGTGCCTTGCTCAAAGGCACCTCAGTCGTGGGTACTGAGTGTGGAAGAGAACACTGTACATTCACTCCCCCATCTACATTTCCTGCTGGTACTGAGACTCGAACCCACGACCTTCGGGTTACAAGTCCAACTCTATTGGTTAACTGCCATATCACTTCTATGTTGAGCTCTGCTGAACTTTGATGCATCGCTAACAGTCGCTGCTGCTTGTGTCGCCAGAAATTGCCACTCTCGTTGAAAAAGAAATGTAGTCAAATTGCAGTCAATGTGAAGTCCCTTAACCAGTTATCATTATGAAGACAACAACTAAAAAATATTATTTTGGTTTTACAAGTTGAAAATAGCTAAACTGAAATCGGTTCAAAGTACCCCCGGTTGGAAATCACTGCTCTAGTCTGTAGTATAATTTACACTGACTATGTATAGATGTGGGATATATGACTCATTTCTTCCCACTAATAGCCACACAGATCAGCACTGTAAGGAGTTGATGATTTTGTATGGAAGGGAGACATTATTATCTAGACAAATGGCCCTATCAAGTTGCCAAAATGAGGCAACATAATACAGAAACAATGCATGCAAAACCACAAAAACTCCATTAAACATCTAATCTTGGTCCACCCACACCCACAAAAGGGTTTACCATCTCACTGGAGCATTTGTACATTTTAATATTTGTAAGTTATATTATTGAGTGACATTTTTATTGCCTCATTTGACAGTGTAATCGATTTACAGGAGAGATCGATCTCTCTAATGCTTCAGGTTTAAAGAGAAATGTTTCCTCGTTATACATAGCTGGTACCAAAAGATCACATTAAAATCTATATAACAAACTTTAGTATGAATGTAATATTGATTCAACAACTGGAACAAAGAACATAATAATAAAGGTACAACAAATACAAATCTTGATATAAAATGTAACGTGATATTTTTGTATTATGAATGTTTCTGATGACTCCTATGATGTAAAGGTAGATTATTCCGACATTCATTTTACACATTGTTTTATGCAATCAATTTTCTACAGATAAGGAACATTAGACAAAATGACCTACAAATACTACTTTTTCTAAGACCACATATATCTGAAAACTATAAAAATAGTATTTACATGATTATCCACTGCTATGGCCTTGAATTCTCTATATAGGTATGAATGAAACTGCGTGTGTGTGTGTGTTTATAAGAAACTGCATGTCTCACTCCCCCGCATCATGAAGAAAGGGAGACAAATGTAGACCCACAACAGTGTTGTGCAAAATTCAGAATTGGCTTTTTTTTCATTCAAGAGTTGATTTGATAACATTCATTACAGGAGAGATCGATCTCTCTAATGCTTCAGGTTTAAAGAGAAATGTTTCCTCGTTATACATAGCTGGTACCAAAAGATCACATTAAAATCTATATAACAAACTTTAGTATGAATGTAATATTGATTCAACAACTGGAACAAAGAACATAATAATAAAGGTACAACAAATACAAATCTTGATATAAAATGTAACGTGATATTTTTGTATTATGAATGTTTCTGATGACTCCTATGATGTAAAGGTAGATTATTCCGACATTCATTTTACACATTGTTTTATGCAATCAATTTTCTACAGATAAGGAACATTAGACAAAATGACCTACAAATACTACTTTTTCTAAGACCACATATATCTGAAAACTATAAAAATAATATTTACATGATTATCCACTGCTATGGCCTTGAATTCTCTATATAGGTATGAATGAAACTGCGTGTGTGTGTGTGTGTGTGTTTATAAGAAACTGCATGTCTCACTCCCCCGCATCATGAAGAAAGGGAGACAAATGTAGACCCACAACAGTGTTGTGCAAAATTCAGAATTGGCTTTTTTTTTCATTCAAGAGTTGATTTGATAACATTCGTATGGGTCTTTCATCCTGAGAAATAAAATGTATAATTAAAAACTACACGTCCATATAAATTTCACTCTATTTTAGTCTGAATTCCAATTCTGTATGTAATTTAAATTCAGAAATTGGATTGGAATTTAAAAAGCTCTGAATGTCACACAAACAGACTGTGAGACAGACAGCAGAGATAAGATGGTGTGGTTATTTTTAGCCGTCTCAGTGGGGCGTGGTGCCCGTGATCAGACGTCACGCCGGGCTGCGCAGGTGTCTTTCTGAGCAATAGGAGATGATGGACACACAGACTACATGCTGCAGTGGCAGACAGCTGAGTTTAAATATAAACCCTTCCTACATGTCCACTTGCAGCAGAGATAAGATGGTGTGGTTATTTTTAGCCGTCTCAGTGGGGCGTGGTGCCCGTGATCAGACGTCACGCCGAGTTTAAATATAAACCATTCCTACATGTCCACTTGTCCTCAAAGACAGTGAAAACATGCACTTTTGATTATTTTCTGCCACTATGCTATCAACTCTAGAATTACAGCAAAAACATCAGGATGAGCTATCAATCTTTACACAGACAACCTGACTAATAAAGAGCCAAATAATTTTCTCAGTGCAGCAGCTGTCAATGTATTCAGCCATCTCCTGCCTCTGACTTCTTCTCTTTGACCTTCACTGAGGACTTCCTGGACACCTTCGTCTTCTCCTTTGATGACTCTTTCTCTCTGGTTGACTCCTTGTCCTTTGAGGGTTCCTTTGACTCTTTTGTAGACTCTCTTTTGGACTCTTTTGACGACACCTTAGGCTCCTTCTCTTTACTAGAGTCTTTCTCCTTCTCTCTGGACGATTCTTTAGATGAATCTGTTAAAAAAAATGAAACAAATATAATGCATGAATATAACAATGTAGATATTATGATATATGCTTTGTTGCAATATAGACAGCAATTTTAGGCATTATAGGAACGATCCTCATGAAAAGCCTGTTCTAAAAGATAGCATCATTCTACCGTCTGAGATCCCTTATCTTGGCCAAAATTGAAAGCAGAATTGCATGGATTGTTCATAGATAGGACAAACCATAGTGCACTGCAACTCATCTAGTAAAAATATTTTTGTGTAACACATTTTTTTATGCATATTACAATGTCACATTGTAAGCTTATCAACATGCTACTGGCAAAAAGGGTGCCAAATGGGACTGGCACTAATTGCAAATGATATAATAATAGCAGTGGTAGTAGTCCCTTGTGAAAAAGAAGTACGTTAGCATACTTTTAAAAAGAGTACTTATGGAACTAATATACTTGATGTTCTTAATATACTAAAGTGCAAACTGAATGGAATGCGTTTTCAGATGCTGAATTGCATGTTATTTAAATAAAAACATTTTATAGTTTCAATTTATATTACATTTATATTAAAATTAGTTTAACTCAAAAAGTGGTTTTTGACCCATTTAAATAGAAGCCATTTCTTAAAGGGTTAGTTCACCCAAAAATGAACATTAGCCCATTAATTACTCACCCTCAAGGCATCCTAGGTGTATATGACTTTCTTCTTTCAGACGAATCCAGTCGGAGTTATATAAAAACATTTCTTTGATCTTTCAAGCTGTTTAATGGCACTCAGCGGGTGTTGCAGTGCATCAGTCCAAAAGAAGTTAAATAAAGTGATGACGTATGAGTTGCGCCGGTGAGTCTCGTGAAAACCAACATTTGTTAACAGGAGCAAAGGAAGCAAAGTTTCCTTACTTTAGAAAAGGAAAACCAGTCTCCTCATGGCTTATATCGAAATCCTCTGACATTCTTCTTTACAAATCCTCGTTTTGTGCTTCTAATTCGTGACCGTTGTTTTGTTTTGATCTTTCCGCTGCGTTTCCGCGTTCATCACTTTTGAGCGGCGCATGTGCAAAGCCGACCTGATACGTCATTCCCCCGGAACTGCTTCTGTTTACAACAGTGTGCGCAAGCTAGAGTAAATTGATTATTACGTTTTAAATATGATTATTTTTCTTACAAAAACGCATCGATTCGCTACAGGAGGACTTTGTTAACCCCCCGGAGCCGTGTGAGGCACTTTTTATTATGGATGGATATGCTTTATTTAACTTTTGGACTGATGAACTGCAACACCCGCTGACTGCCATTAAACAGCTTCGAAGATCAAAGACAATTTTTAATATAACTCTGATTGGATTCATCTGAAAGAAGGAAGTCATATGTCTATGATGGCTTGAGGATGAGTAAATAATGGGCTAATTTTCATTTTTGGGTGAACTATCCCTTTAATTCTATTGCTAGAATATGGTTAAAGTGCACGGTTTAGTTTACTGACAAGCATTAACAGTATGGTAAACTAAAAAATAATTTAATTTAATATCTATTAAAACTGTTATACATTTAAACTGTATTTAAATATACACATTTGTAATGATTAATTTGCAATTTAGTACTTATAAAAAAATCCTACTAAAACACTCTAATTGCATTCAATATAAAATGAAACTATAATAAATACTAATTTAATAACATAACATGCAATTAAGTGTCTGAAAACACATTTAGTTCACACTTCAGCATTAGCTTTAAAAGTATATTATTTCTGTAATAAATACTCTTACAAAAGTACCTTAAAGTGTACTTCTTTTTCACAAAGGTCTGATTTTTATTCACTAGATATTTAAAAAACTTCCCATAGTCACATTTAAGTTTGTCTGTGGGTAGGTTATGTTGTAATATGGGTCATTTATGTCATCAGAAGTCATTGGAAACATATGCAGGTTCACAGAGGATCACAAATGTACATTTATTCATTTAGCAGACCTTTTTATCCAAACGCACACCAGGAATACAACTGATGCACCAGCATCAGAACTGACAGAATATTAGTGGAAAAGGGGTATGAGAGTCAGACAGCCATTAGAGAGATTATTTGTTTGTGTGTGTGTGTGTTTGGGGGCTGGGAGCAGATCTTTTTGTTGTGTACCAGGTGCCATTGTCACTCAGTGTCAGTCACAGCAGGCAGTCAACTCAGCACACACACACACACACACACACACACACAGAGATACCATGTCTACTAAAGGAGTGATATATGTGCATCTCTAAACAGTCATTAAACAGTCACAGCCGTTTGCATCCTCTGGGGGCTAGTCTCAATCCTCCACCTGTGTGCTAGACGCCTGTGAGCCGCAGTCACGCTGGGGCTGATGGGTAGGCAGACAGCTCCTGTAGGGCTATATCCGCAGGGAGCAGCTTAATAAGGCTTTTCCTGAGGTGCTTCGCAGCAGCCGCAGGCTTAATGACACTGACAAGACTGCAGACGTCCCTTCTCAGACAGACAATCTCACAAGACTCTTCATCTCTCAGACGAGACTGTGATTGTGTGCACGTGGTTGTGTAGTGTGAATCTACAGACAAAGACTCAACAGTATGTGAATGTGAACTGCACCTCTACACACGGCCGTTATCTGATGTTTAACCACAGACAGCCCACATCACCCGAGGAATCGCCTGCAGATATCTTTCCTGACACAGACTGAGTACAGCAGTGCCCTACACTTGGGGGTTTCACACTTTTTTTATGGCAAGGACCCACAAATGTCAATATTTCTTCCTAAAATATAAAGGCAGTTGTATATATTTATGTATAATAAAAAAAATTCAATTAAAATCTTACAACCCATTTTTTTCTTCTTTCAAATTTTCCATAAATTTTCAGCAAATTAACTCAGCAGTGACTGTCACTGCCATAAATAATTGGAAATCTCTAAACTCTCAAACACAATTTTTTATAACTTTTCAGTGATTTATAGTGATTACGTTTTCTTGTACTAATATTTCTGACTCGATTACATCATGTGCAATCAGTGCCAGTCCTGTCCTATTTGCCAACAACATAAATAGTTACAGAAAGATAGAGAGAAAAAAGTTATTTATAAGTTATTATAACTGTCACATATGCCCCCCCCCCCTAATATAGACATTTTTTATTTATTGTAATGGGAGTTTTGTTTTGGGAAGAAACAATGCCGCCCCCTGAAGAGAAATACACAACAAATGCGAATGAGCAGAAAGAGTGAAGTAGGGCCTACTCTCACTGCACAAGAAACACAAGATGAGCATCAATGGGCAGCTGGTGGTTTCCATTCCCAACACACAAAGGCTAAAAATACACACACACACACACACACACACACACACACACACACACACAGTAGTTTCCAAGTTTTACGGGGACTCTCCATAGACATAATGGTTTTTCTACTGTACAAACTGTATTTCTATCCTCTTACCCTAACCATCACACAAAACTTTCTGCATTTTTAGGTTTTCAAAAAACATCATTCTGTATGATTTATAAGCGGTTTTCCTCATGGGGACAAAAATACTGTATGCCCCTACAAGGTCAAAATGTACTGGTATTAGTATCCTTGTGGGGACATTTGGCCCTCATAATGTAGGGAATACCAGGTACAAATATGCACACGCACACACACACACACACACACACACGTCTGGTCAGCTATCCTTCTGGGGACTCTCCATAGGCATAATGGTTTTTATACTGTACAGACTGTATATTCTATTGCCCTACACCAACCCTACCCCTAAACCTACCCCTCACAGGAAACTTTGTGCATTTTTACTTTCTCAAAAAACGAATTCTGTATGATTTAAGCTTTTGTACCCATGGGAACCTCAATTTAGGTCCCCACCATGACACGAGTCCCCATGAGTCTGTAGATTTTGTCAGGTTTAGCTCACTTTTGGGTAAAAAATTTGTCCCCAAAATATGGTTAAATAGGTACACACACACACAAAATGCATATGATATTGTTTTACAGCACAGTCTACATGTAATAATGTCAAGAAATGTGTTTTATCTATATGACCACTTACACAGTATAAGTCAAAATTTTTTGCATACCTACTTATTCGTTATTACCATATTTTAAGACATTGAAACTTGGAAATAACACAAATGTATATATGAGAATTATGAAATGACCAAAAACAAAATATAATATGTTATATTTGAGTTTCTTTAAAGTAGCCCACTTCTGCCAAGATTATGGCTCTGGACATTCTCTCAGCCAACTTCATGCGGTGCATCCTAGCATGCTTTTTGAACAGTAATAATGGAGTTCCCATGGACGCTGGACACTTGCTGGACTATTTTCCTTTACCATCTGCTTAAACCTATCTACAAAAATATTACAAATCACAGTTGAAAAATCCCATATTGGAACAATTTATATTTGTACACAAAACTATTTCAAAAATCTAAGAATGTACACAGTACACAGTGCTTCATACACTCTCAGAAAAAAAGTACCTTTAGGGGTACAACAGCTTGTCTCTGGGGCAGTACCCTCAAAGGTACACCTTTGTACCTTCTTTATCCCTAAAGGGTTTGTAATAGTACCAAAAGAGTACATATTGCTACCTGAAGGGTACACACTAATACTAATATGTATATTAATATTCATAATTAATGCATTATATTATATGATCTCATTTTATAATATTCTAAGGTACTAATATGCAGCATTTAAGGGTAAAGAAGGTACAAAGGTGTCACTTTGAGGCTACTGACCAGTGACGAGCGTAAAGGTACAATTTGTCCACATATTTTTCTAACAGTGTGTGAGCAGTCATGAGGAGTGTTTATCTCGCAAGTGTAAGAATAAAGTGGGTGTGAAATGTTTAAGATCTCACAGAAAGATAGAATGGATGGACGGAGATGTGAGAATACCACTGTTTGAGTTATGTTTGCAGCCGGTGTATGAATGTGAGTGCGTGTTTGAGTTGTGAATGAGGCTGTGTGAGGTCCTGTTCATTTACAGTTCATATCATT